TAATGGCTGAGTACGTTGAACATATTCTTTAATACAAGAGACTACACATAATGTCTTATCTTCAAAAGCATTCAAGTGAAGCTGTCCAAAGTGTTTGCCAGGTCTTGAGGTTTTAAGTAATTTCTGGATGTAGAATACACAGTGTTTATCAGTCAGAGCCATGGATTTTATGTCCAGGGCTTGTAAAGTTTGACATCTTTGTCCAGAGCACAGTGCAATCAGCATCGTTGTCTTGAGAGTTAAGTCTTGTAAGGTAAGATCGTTTAGTGGTTGGAGTGTTTGTAGATGTCTAAAGACAATAGACACATCCCATATCTTTGTATATCGTGGAAGCGAGGGACGAGTAGAGTAAACACCTCTGAGAAACTTGGTCACCAGTGGGTGGCTTCCAAAGGTATGCTCCCCTCCTGGAAATATAACTGTAGACAATGCAGAACGGGCCGTATTGATGGAACTGTATGCAAGGTTTTGTTCATAGAGTACACCCAAGAAATTCAGTCCATCTATGAGAGATGCTGAAAGTGGATGTATCTGTTGTTTATGACAGTACTGTTCCCATCGTTGTAAGTGTGATCGATACTGTTTCTGTGTTCCAGGTTTCCAGGATTGGATAATGACACTGGTAGCTGTATCTGAAAGTCCCTGGCTTGTGAGATGTCCCCTGATAAGTGGCAAAGCAGTAGCTTGAGTGCTTTGTTCAATGGGTGAATAAGTTCTGGATTCGATGGAAGTGTTAGTGTGTCCTTGTACCTAGGTAGGACAAGAGGAGCAGCAATTAGCATACGTACAAGGAATGGCCACCAAGCCTGAGTGGGCCAGTATGGTACAACAATAAGACCTGTGGCCTTATCTTCACAAATCTTACGTAACACTTTTTGAATAATACAAAATGGTGGAAATGCATAAAATAAAATTTTTTCCCATGATATGTGGAAAGCATTTATTGCAAATGCCCCAGGGTCAGGCTGATATGATACATATTTGCTACATTTAGTGTTAATTCTAGATGCAAACAAGTCAATTTCTGGTTC